TGGCATGCGATCCACATTGCGTTTGGCTTGTACATCAGTGGTAACGCAGGCAAGACAAGCTCTGTTGCGTATTAAACATAGCGACTCTAGGGGATACTCCTCGTTAAATAAGGGTGCGTTCGGTCCGTCCAAAGCACGTGCTTTTCACGTACTTCGAGGCCATCCACGTAACTTCGAAAAAAATATGTTACGCGGGGCATTCGGTTCAAATCCGCGTAACTTGGCGTACTTTGCCGCCAAAGCACGTATTTTCAAAAAACGCCTCGGCCGGCCAGCCGACACAAACCAGCGGCGAACGTTGGGATGCTTTGGGATATATCCTGCCCTCGATCGGAAAAACCTAATTTGGGTCCTTTTTTCACAGATCCCTGATTTGATTTCCAGAAGCGACATGGCCGCGACCATGACCGCAGCGCGCCAAGTCGACACGCTTGGAAGGACCAGGGAGCGCATGCCGCCGCGGACGACGGGCGCGCTAGGTTAGATTTGTGATGCTTATAGTACACACGCAGAGGGCGTCGTGTTGCTTGCTCATCGACTCGACAAGCGTTCTCTCCGAGGTCGGTCGCCCGCTACCTCGTCGCGCCACCAAGCAGCCGCTAGCGAAGCCGGCACGAGGCGTATGAGGAGGAGTAGCGCATCGAGGGTATGCGCCGTCGACAGACGTCTCAAGCGCTTACCTTGTACGCCGCCACTCATCGCATTGAGGACCCTCGCTTGCTGCTCGGGTCGCGTCGCGCAGGACCATCCATGCGCTGTCCTAAAAAAACCAAAGTCGGCGTACATCGATGAACCGAACGCGATTTTGCAATCCGCGTAACAAAATGCACGTATCGAAAAACCATGCAATCGAAGTTATGCGGATTTGCGATATGTGCTTTGAAAGTACGCGGTGAACCGAACGCACCCTAATTGTACAGTCGTCGACTGTCTTTGCAAAATGGTTGACCCTCGTCTGTGTCTCCATATTCCCTTTGCTGACGAGGCGATCAACATCGTC